GATTGTGTTAAACAAAATAATGTGGCAAAAATTCCAGCCTGTTTTGGTTTTTTTTTTTAATTCTTCCACATACAAATAACCACTTGGTAATGTTTTATATTTAATTAGGCATACAGAATTAAACTTCTGTTTAAAATTATGAAGTATTTGTATTTTCTTCTGTTTTTTTCTTGTCCATGAAGACTTCCCTACCATAACTTAGACGCTTAGATTTTACTACCATAGGTCTCAGCTGTTAACAACATAATGCGAGATGTATAAACTCATTACATGCATTACTGAACTGTATGAAAGGAGTAGGATTTTGAAGTTTACTTAAATATTTATTTGTATTTCAGGTACTGTTAAGATATCGTGGTTAAGATACCATTGGTAGTTTTAAATGCATTCATTTATGACTTGATGAGATTCTATTAATCATTAGCATCCATGGCTTTCTCAGCAGTAATTAGAGGAGCATATGTAAAGCATGGCATATCTGTGCTTCTGTAGATCCTGTTTATTCGTAGAAGACTAAGTGATTGCAAAAGTAAACACGCTGCAAGATTGCAATTCAGTGAGTGAGCAAGTCTCACTGTCCGTGTATATCATATGTGATGCTTTTTCATATTTTGTTACATAACCCAGAAATACTTTCATAGCAATTACTTCCTTTGTTTAAAGATCCGCTTTTTAAAACAATGCTTATCACATCATAATCTACAAAATCTACAAAACTAATGTTTTCGTAATTTGTGTTATCAGAATTTAACTCTTCGATGTTAACTCTTCGATGTTAACTGGAAGATAACAGGAGGATAGTACTTGGCAAAGGAGACTTATGCATGTGGTTCACTAACTGTCTCTGGCTCCTTGTGCAAAACAACTGTATAATCAGTCATAAACTGGTCAGTCGAGCACTGACAATTTTAATTACCAGTGGGGAAAAGTAAAATCACCTTTCTCTTAAAGAAAGCTAGGCAATCGGATCTCTCTCCTCTATGGTTTTCAGTGAATGTTTGAGAGTTCAGTCAAATATGAAAAATCATAGAATCATAGAATTGTTTAGGTTGGAAAAGACCTTTAAGATCATCCAGTCCAACCATTAATAAAAACTAGAAGGGACATAAAATAATTTTGACATGAATCTCTTGTAAAAAGCAAGTGTATTAAAAATTTTTTAGTCTGGTATTTTTGTGTGTTTAGAGCATTTAGATTTCCATTCAGATGAAAATTCAGGGTTGTATACACCCAGCTGAGAAGCTGTTCTGTGAAATTGCATGGCTCTTCATCATGTGTAATACTAAAACAGTTGCTTTACCTGCTGTTACTTAAAGCTCCTTATACATTTTATATAATTAAGCTATTGTTAAAAGTTCTTCACACATGCTAAAGATTTGAAATGTAAATGATACTTATTTCTGAATATATATAAGTGCAGTCTCCCGTAGAAGGAGAGTTTGAAACACTTGCAAATTTTGAGGTTTTTGTTTTGTTTTAACAAATAAGTGGCTGAATGTGTGCTGAGTATGTGCATTTTTTCCCCAAAAGTGATGGTAATGCTTATAATGCTCTGGTGTTGTGACCCCTTATTAAAATTTAGGTGGAAATGGAATAAGAAATTAGTGCAGAGGAGAATTCTGCCTATTACTGAGGCATTTAAATTTCAGAGCAGATATTTTTCTCTTACAGTCTAACTTACTTTTAAAAAGAAATGGAGGAAGATAAAATTACAGTAGTAAAGGCTTGTGCTGTCCAAATTACTTTGGGTTTCTCTTTAATGGTTTCCTGTTTCTGGGCTTAGGATATAGGTTGTTAAGGATTTGTTAGAAAATAGTAAAGCTTTCTGTGTGTTGTTGCCATTATTATATTTATGCTATTGTGTAAAATGGTATTTTATGAGAGTTTTTGTGATGCAGGATTTTCTCTGTGACCGAGAATGCCCTTAATTTCATCCTGGAGTTCACAAACTGGAAGAGACTTCCTCCAGCTGTAGAGCAAGACCTTTCAGACTACAAAGAGAAGTTCACTTGGACTCCCAAGAGCCATTTTGGTAAGCAATACAGTTAGGGGAGGGAAAAAAAAAAGTCTCTGTGTATGTCAGCTTCCAGGCTGTAAGCGGAAAGCAGCTCTGTGTGCTAATGCACGATGG